TGAGTGCTCTGCTGGCTGACTGCGCAAGCATTGACAGTGCCAGAGGAGAAGGGCAGCAGTGAGCGAGCGAGGGGGCGAAGGTGGAGGTCAAGGTGATGCGGGAAAGTGCAAGTCCTAGCTGCAAACAAAGCAACAACAAAAAACCACACCACATGAAATTTAATCAAGAGCTGCAAATGCTGGCCACAACCACCTCAGCATCGCAGAAGCAACAACAGCAACCAACACAACATGTTCAAAACACAGAAAACAAAAAATAATAATAATAATACATAATAATAAATTCGAGGAATTGCAACAAACCTCCCCACCCCCAAAACAAAACAAAAAAAAAAACCAAACCAAACGCAACTTTGAATACCAAATTACAAATGAGAAACATTTGCTGACCTCGGCGTGGGGAAGGGTGTGGAGGGGGAAGGGCAGATGCGTGTCTATATAATAATTAAATTTTAGCGCCGTTGAAGTGCAGCAACAACGTCCGCAATTCGAACATAATGACGCACTCTCCGAATAGTTAAGAACAAAACGAAAGCAACAACAACAACTACAACAACAAATGCCATAAAATGCATTTGGATTCTCAAATTTCATATTAACGTTAACGTTAAGAGCGTCGCGCCCTGATTTGTACAACTCTCGTTTGCCACAAATGATATGTTCATGACGATGATGCTGATGACGTTTGTGATGAAAGATGATCATCATCATCATGATGTTTGTCCATCGAGCCAGCCGAGTGCTGCAAGCTTTGACTTTTGCTTTGCACACAAGTATCTGGCCATGTGAATAAATTCATTTCTTGTTTCATAAATACAACAGTTTTTGCAAATTTGAATCGTGAGTATGAACTGGCATAATATTTTTCAGGTCGTTTAAATGATTTCCATTCAAGCAAAGGCCGCTACTTTTCTTGGATCTTCTAAAGGTCATATTGAGGGTTTATATTTTTGCTTAAGTTCAAGTATTCTATTGAAACGCTTTGGTAATCATTTCAATAAAGAGCGGAGCAAGAATTAGCAGAATCAACGAGGTCTCCTTCAATAGCTTTGCCCAATAAATAGTAATCCATTCTATCATCTTCAATTGATCGATTTCTACGTATATATAAGAACTTATACATCTTTCCTACAATCCCTGGTATTAGAATAGCTTTAACGTTGTCTCCAAAAACTTTTTCTCACAATCGACTCAATTCACAATTTGGTCACGTGTTTCAGATTATAATTGGAATATATTCGAACTAATTCATCTCTCGGGACAATCTAAAGAACAAAAAATGGAACTCAAGCGCCAAAACCGGCTTCAAAACGCAATTGGGAATTATTTATAAACTGATTTCATTTTAAAGTCAACTGATCGATGGGTGTAGTTATAAATAAGACTGCCATAAGTTTCGTTTGAAGTACAACGCTCTATATATGTACTCTGGAATCCCCCTATTTGAATACTCGTATAGTATGCCGATGACTACGTATATGATGGAGATAAGAAAATACTTTTATCGGTGAAGTCAGAGCTTTGTCAAACAACAAAGATATCAAGGTAAGAAAAACGCGTGCACTTAACTAAATTTTGTTATAATATATCATCGACTTGCGATATATAATCAGCAAATTAGTTGTTGCTAGGCGGCCCCATAATTAGTGCGAGTCCAACTCTTGTGCAATTGGTTAGCCGAGACAAACAAACAAAAATTCACTTAATTTTTTTGAAGCCCCATTTAACATAATGTTGGCGATATTGTTGAAATATATTTTTCATATTCCCGTTATAATATTTATGTTATATATCTTTAATTTATCGATAGATCCAATAGATAGAAATAATTCCACCGACTTCAAAAAAAAAAAAAAAGGAGGAGGTTATCAATTCGTCGGTTTTTTTTTTTTTGAATTTACAAAAGCTTAATAAACTCGTATAGACTAGGGTGTGGGAGCGTCTGCATACCAAGTTTGGTTTATGTACGCTCAGCCGTTTCCGAAATCCAGGCGTTCATCCAGACAGACGGACGGGCGGACGGACATATCAAGATCGATTTCTCTCGTCATGCTCATTCAGAATATATATACTTTATGGGGACGGAGATGCTTCCTTCTGCCTGTTACATACTGTGCACAAACCTAATTTACCCTTTTTACCCTTTACGGGTATAAAAGGCATTCACTATATTTGGTAAGAAGTCGGTTTTATTTAACTTGTCTTAATATAAGTTGAAATCAATTGATTTGCTTGTATAGGTCAGACTTGAAACCTTAAAGACTTTCTTGTTTTGGGCGAAGCTTCATTTACTCGCAGAGTGGAAACCTCAACCATGACCCCAGGAAGCGTGATGCAAGGAAGCTGGCACCCGAAGTCAAGTGTCGAAAATGCTCATTAAATTTACAAGGACACAACTTTGAGCGCAGGCGGATACTGGAGTCGGTAGATGGTACATGGCATAGAGATAGGGAATTGGGGAATGGGGAGTGAGGGGCTGGCTGCGCAGCGTGCGAGTTTTTTGTGACCTCTGACATTGCATTTAATCTCGTTGACAGCACTTAACACGCCCCCGAGCCCCAAGCAGACGAGGGCAATGGCTAAAAAGTCGAGCAGTGGCAGTGCGGCCGATTAAAAGATGGGTGGCGGGGTGGTGCGGTGCGGTGGTTGGGTGGTGTTGATGCCACTGCTATTTTGTTGTTTGCTGGCTTTTGGAGGTCGAGTGCTCGCTTGTTTGGTCGCTAACATTGGCGTTGGCGCTGCAAGCGGATTATTTAAGTTTATAATACGCTTAGGGGTAATTTTAATCTGTTGCAAATTGTTTTTGTTGTTAGCACACACGATTTTTGGGTTTTTGCTGTCCCACTCCCCTCCCACTCTCCACTCTCCACAAACCACACACACACACACAACAATGGTTAAGTGGGGGCTGAAGGCTGAAGGCGGGAAGGCAGCGTCTATAAAACATCTTTTTGCATTGCCTTGTATTAGTATTTATTCAGCAAAAAACACGCACACATACATACATACATATTTCTGTTTGTGTGTGTGTGTGTGTGTGTGCAAATTTGTGGCATATTTCATGGTTATTGTTATCTCCCGATGTGTGTGTTCGTGGCTGCCATTTGGTTGCCACTGCTCTGTGCTGGCCGTTTCATTAAGAACGCAACGCTCACGGGGGCGTGTAGGAGGGCGTTAGGTGGGCGTGGCGCTTGCAAATGTACTTTTTCAAATTTCGAAACAGTATTTTTGGTTCATGTCTGATTTAAAGCGCAACTTTGTGGCAACTGAACGCATGTGGTCCGAACTGCCCATCCAGAACAAGGAAGAACTCTGAATGCATTCAATCGCCCACACTCCCGCCATTGAATTGCCTCTAAACAAACACTTTTTCGAATAACGAATACTCAACGATGTTGAAGTTAAACTTCATTAATGATCGAAAATGATTTCTACAAAAACAAATAACTTTAACGAATAACCAGAAATAGTTTTTCTTTCAAACAAACACTTTTTCGAATAACGAATACTCAGCGATGTTGAAGTTAAACTTCATTAATGATCGAAAATGATTTCTACAAAAACAAATAACTTTAACGAATAACCAGAAATAGTTTTCCTTTCAAACAAACACTTTTTCGAATAACGAATACTCAGCGATGTTGAAGTTGAACTTCATTAATGATCGAAAATGATTTCTACAAAAACAAATAACTTTAACGAATACCCAGAAATAGTTTTTCTTTCAAACAAACACTTTTTCGAATAACGAATACTCAGCGATGTTGAAGTTGAACTTCATTAATGATCGAAAATGATTTCTACAAAAACAAATAACTTTAAGAAATAACTCTAAAAACTACTTTGTTGTGGTTTCAGAATTACATTGCTGGCCACAACTTTGTTGCGAGTTATCCAATCGCAGACGGGTATTATATTATAAATGTGTATAGTCAGCGAGTCAAATAGAATTGAAATGTACTCAATGTGCTCATGCTTCACAGATGAATCATTTCAATTGACATATAGTTATATATTCTTATCTTGTTGCCAATCCAGATCAAGTTCTTAAAAAGTGCCGCTTAGTTTCTTATATCGTATATGCATTTCTGCACTCATAATTCATTTGTAAAACAAATACTTACTTAGCCACCTGTAATTGGATATTAGAGCGCTGCATGTGCGCAATTAAGAAAACAACTTTCGAGAGTTATAATGAAACTTTAAACAACCACTCACTCGACTATGCTTATTTCATTCAAAAAGCACTCGCTCGTGAGAACGTTTCGCATTGAATTCGATTGAATGATTGGCAGTTAAATGCATTCATTCTCAAGAAGTCTAGTGATTTGTTTTTGATTCTTCATAGGTAAACCTCATAAGTCTGAACTAGCTGTCTTGGAGAATGGCAATAAAGAAAAAGTACTGCTCTGTTTTTGTTCAAACAATGCAACAAACCAGCTTCTAGATAGCAGAGCGCTGCATTGCATAGAATGTGTGTTCGAAATGAATTAAGAGTCAACAGTTAAGTTCGTTCCCAGCCCAGTCTCTCGAAGAGCACGGCTTGACTAGCGCCCAGTCCACTAATCAACTATTTATTGCCAATAAATCGCGTCAGCTTTTCCAGCAATGTTTGAACAAAATCGGAATGTGGAATATGGCACTTGGAGGTCGATTCGCGACCAGGAATGCTCACGGTCAAGTGCCGCAAAACAAACCCACTATTGTGTGTGTTTTTGTTTGGCCATTTTCTTGGGGAAACTGAACGCAAATATTTTGGAAATTGCAGCAACACTATTAGAGGAAAATCGCCAAATGAGATCACGCGTCACCGCCGAATGAAATCAAAATTGCCAGAGCTAAAAACAGAAAACCACTTCAAAAATAAATAAAATGAAATGGCGAGCAAATTATGCTGAGCACCGAAGAATCAAATATCAAATGAAATGAAATAATTAATGACAGTAAAAACATAAACAGAATTTTAAAATAATAGTAATAAAAAGAAATGCATAACTCACCGATGGACTCAGGCTCGGGCTCAGGCTCAGGCTCGGACTCGGGCTCAGGCTCGGATTCGCGCTCATGCTCAGGATCATGAACTGAGCTAGGTAGGCCCTGCCATGGATCGGTTCCGGGCGGGCAGCCGGCCTCGTCAGTCAGGTCCTTACAGTCATTGTAGCCGTCGCAGCGCGCGGAGAGCGGCCGACAGTCGTCGTCGCACTTGAATTCGTTCTCAGAGCAAACTAAAGTCAAAGCCGAACGCAAAATTGCAAAGAAAATAAGGAGCAATTAAAATGGCTGGCAAGTAAAATGGGGCGACCCATGCGCTCGCAGGGTTAGATGGCACAAGTGACAGGGTCAGATCGGATCGGATCGGATCAGATCAGTTCCGGCTATGGCTATGTCTACGATCTGAACAATGTGGCTAGTTTTAGCATCTGGATGTAATGAAGGGGAGAGAGAGCACAGAAGAGAGCAGATGAGCGAGCAAGAGAGACAGGGAGCTTGAGAGTGCTGTGGAATATGCATGATAGAGAGAGCGAGAGAGCGCGGGAGAGCGCGGAAAAGCGCGGAAGAGCGATTGAGCAATGGGTTGGAGAGTTGTAGATAAATGAAGCACAGCTAGATTGATGATTTTTCGAACTCGTAGAGCCGCACTAAGCACGACTTATGTGAATGACATTACCAAGAGACTCTGGCTCGGGCTCGGGCTCGGGCTCCGACTCTTTCTCCTCATCGCCGGGACAGTTTTGCTCATCCTCGCCATACGGACAATCGTCGTGGCCATCGCAGCGCATCTCATCGCTGATGCGCGTCCCATCGACATGACAAATGTAGGTAACCGGCATTATTGGATCGCTATTGCCAGAGCCTTCCACTACATCGATGCTGGCTGGATTGTATGGGGGCTCATCAAGATCTATGTATATAAGGCAAGTGTGTAGGTGTGTGTGTGTGTGTGTGTGTGTGTGTGTGTGTGTGTGTGTGTGTGTGTGTGTGTGTGTGTTTATTAGTGTTGGTGTAAACAAATTAGCATTGTTAAGAAATACTTAAGAGGCAGAGCCTTGTATTACTTATAAGAGGTACGGGACGAACACAAAACAATTGACAGACATTATTCAAATATATATAGTAAGAGTAAGAGAACAACGAAGACGAGGACACACATTTAATGGAACACAATTACAGAGAGAGAAAGCGAGAGTTTCGTAAGTTCAAGCTGGGAACTATAGTAAATAAGCAGGTTCCGATTTGGTGATACTTAAGACCAAGACATCCATTGGGTCTTAGATAAGGATCTAGTTTTTGGTACATTTCTCAAAATTGCTTTTAGTTCAATACTTTTCATTGATGCTATAGCTAGAAAATGCAAATTTTTCTCAAGAATTATAGATCTGCATGCGATCTAGCCCTACCACTGCGTTTGCTTGTCCGTCCTTCTGACCACCTTGCTCTCAATAGTTATTAAAGCGGAAGGCGCCAGATTTTAAATCCGCACTCTTCGAACCCCTACACTTCTCAAGTGTGCTGCAGACTTCAAATAAAGACATCCCTACCTCCTCCCAACTCCATTCCAAAATCGGATCCGCTTGAAAATTGTTAAAACTACAATCTGCTGATCTGCATCTTAAGTTCCGCCTGCAGATGGCGCTCCCTTACACCACTCGAGAGAGAGAGATGTGTGTACATCTCTATGCTGTCCTCCCTTCTAGGACACCCGTCCCCACTCAAGCTAAGAACCATCTCTTATTTTCCTACTAAGAATGATATTACACAGAAGCATGAGCTCTAAATTGTGCCACTCATGGGAGAGCTGGCCCAGTGTTCGCGGGTTAGTCGGGTTAGGCGCGGGGACAGGTGCATGAAATTGTTAGTGTGGGTGTGTTGTTGTTGTTTGTGTTACATTTTCCACATCCATACACCACGTTGGTGACAGTTTTTGTAGAGGGAAGAACTCAGATGCAAGCAAACAAACCTTTCTCCGCATTTTTCTTCTCAAAGAGATGACACACGCGCGGGTCCTCGTCGGACTGGTCATCACAGTTGGCCTGGCCAGAACAGAACTCAAAGCATCTAATCTGTTTTCTGCGGTCGGCACAAACGAATACGCCCTCAACTGGATTTTCTAAGCACTCTCCAAAGTCGGGCTGCGGATCCTGCTCGGGGTCATGGACACTATCCTCGCCACTCTGCTGGCCTTCGCTCGGGTCCTGGTAGCCTTCCTGGCCATAGTTCGGATCGCGTCCATTGTCTTGGCCATTATCATTGCCATATCGATGGTCTTGGTCATGCTCTGGGCGACGATCTTGGTCATTATCATAGCCGCTGTTATAGCTAGGATCGTTTCCATTGTCTTGGCCATTATTATAGCCGTTCTCATAGTTGGGATCTTCATGGTCTTGGCCATGCTCTGGGCGACGGTCCTGGTCATTATCATAGCCGCTGTTATAGCTAGGATCGTTTTCATTGTCTTGATCATTTCTCTGGTCGTTATCGTAGCCGTATCGAGGATCTTGGCCATTCTCTTGGGCATGGTCTTGGCCATTCTCTTGGTCATAGTCTTGGCCATTCTCTTGATCATAGTCTTGGCCATAGCGTTGGTCTTGGTCTTGGTCTCGGTCTCGGCCAATATTATAGTCAGAGTCAGAGTTGTGGTCTTCATTGCCGGCACCGTTGTAAATGGGCGGATCGAGGGGATCGTTTTCTGTTAAGGCAATGGGAATTTTTGAGCAGTGTCAGTGTGTGTGTGTGTGTATGGGTGTGTGTGTGTGTGTGTGTGTGTGTGCGGAATTAGTGTGGGAGTGTGCGCGTATGGGTGACTGTGCGGCATAAAGCAATTGCTTTATTTGCAATGCTAGGCAGAAATACCAGCATAGGCTAAGTTTTTGTTGGCTACTCGCCACAGCTTCAGAGACTAATACAGAATTAGCACCAAAGATTCAAGTATATAGTAGGCATATACAAGTATTTATATGTCAGGGGAGTCGATGTGAAGGTTGTGTACTTACCACGCACTTTCCTGAAGTAGTAGTGCTCGTCTAGACCAGCCCCGAGGGAGCCGATGCGCGCGTATTTCTCGATCTGCTGTTTCAACTTCTCCTCGAAGGTATGGAAGCGATTCAGAATCTCCAGCTGCACGATGACGTGCACCTTGTACGTATCCTGAGTGGGGCTGTGAAAATAGAAAAAGCCAAGCAGCGGATCAGTACTTCAGTTCCAACAATCAAACAATCAATCCATCAATTCATCAATCAAGCTGATTAAAGTTCTCTAATACGAAAGAACAAAGGCGAACTACGAGTATATCTGAATATAACAACTCTTCCTATAACGTAGAAAATGTTTAAGTCAGCCTTCTAGTTTCTACTCCAAATATTTTTAGGTTTTACAAATATTGTAAAGGGGACTGGCTTTTCAGTCAACGGGCTAAGTGGAAAAAATGCAGAGCTGAGATCAAAACCCAATGAAATATTGTTTTTGGGAACCCCCAGGAATTGTTGACGTTCATTCTCATCAATGAAGGGACATTGTTTTGCACAAGTCTCGGGATATGGAAGCTCTGAATCGGATTTCTTGTTGTTCAAATATAATAGGAATACATTTTTACGCCTTTTTTTAATCTTAAATCCTTTCCTAGACTAAGCAACAGTCCAAACAATATGAAAAACAGCGGAAATATAATTCCGAGCTATTGGATGGGTTTGGTGGGAATTTCAAGCAAATGCGACTACATTTGACAGGAAAGGAAAGCATTTTCCACTACTTATACGAATTGGGTTTGTATTATCTTTTGCCGGCTACTATCTTTTTTCAAACTTAATGAACAAGCTTCTTGCAAAGGGTTTGATTCAAATGAAGACATTTGACAAGTGTGTTGCTTTCAAGGGAAATTGTGTTAAGAAAAAGTTGCGTTTTCTTACTTAGGACGATTACTTATAAGCCTTCCCTCGTACCGTACACAGAATTGGAAGGAAAGTACTGTACTTCCTCCTGCTCCTTCCAATTACATACATTTTGTTCTCCCCATCCTCCAAAATCTAGAAAGTTTTCTTTTCTGTCAGCTGAAATATTTTGCTTAAAATATTTTACAATGTCCTCCAGTAATATAGATTAGTGATTAATGATTGCATTAGCTTCCCAATTAACGAACAAAATTGCTGATAGCAAGCCCGGAAAGCGTACCCCAAAAGTATGCTATTGTTAATTTTAATTTCGGTTTACTGCCTAGAAATGTTGTGAGCTCATTTGAAGCAAAATCGGAGGAGGGGAGTGGAGAGGAACTTACTCCACTCGCAGGAGCGTTACGCGTATACTGCTGTCGTCGTCATCATTGCTGTGGTACCAGGATTGGAAGAGCTCGGTGAACGCAGAGTCAATCTGCTCGTAGAGCTGGCGGAAAGCCAAGCTGTCCTGATCCGCATACTCCTGCTTGTATGGCTCCGAGATGGTGAAGAGGGTGCGGTCTGCGGAGAAGAGAGAAAAAGAGGGCTGGTAAGCAGTGTGCTTTTTAGAATCGCCAGATGAGCAGCGACTTACAGTAGGAGGATGATTCGTCGTCGTCGTTGCCAAAGCCGGAGCCGGGCTCGTCATCATAGTCGGCTTGGCGTTTCCTGGAAAGCGATGCTTGTTGCTTCTTCAGCTGACGTTTCTGCTGACGCTTCAGCTTGCGCTCGTGCTGCTGCTGCGTGCGCTTCACTAAACGCTCACGCCGGCGCTCCTCTGCGTCTCGTTTGGCGGTGAGCTTACCGGCGTGCGTTCGCTTTTTGGTGGACTTCAATGAGCCATTGTCGCTGCCGAAAAATCGGGCGACCTCGCGACGGACGCGGCGGGCTGCGCTTTTAAACCAGCCGCCATCGTCGTCGTCTTCCAAATCGTCGACAGGCAGCAACGAGTCCTTATCCAAATCAATAGCATTGTCGTTGGCGGACATCAAGGAGGCCGGACTCTCGTCATCAGCAAAGCTAAGGTCCTCCCCCAAGGAGTTCGTTTGCTGCAAGCAGAGCGAAGAAGAGAAGAAAATGTTAAGCACCTTTATTTATTTTCTAATGTAAAGCTCAAGAGTGGTTGCGTTCCGCGCTAAATGTAAAACATTTGAAACAGTTTGGCAAGCACTGTGCCCTGCAGCGCTTTTCACCTCAGCTGCGCGCGCTGTTAACCAAAGTAACAGCGCAGACAAGGCAGAAAGCTTTTAACCGTTGACATGGCTGCCAAGCTGTTTGCTGTTAAAGCAGCGCATGTGTGTGTGTGTGTGTGTGTGTGTGGTGTGTTTGCATGTGTGCGTGCTGTTATCTAAGATATGACGCGCGCTGCGCAGGAAATTGTGTCACACCTACACACACGCACACACACACACACGATATCACGTATTGGGTTTTTCATTCTCTTTTTTTATCAGTTCGAACACTCATATCAATAATGCCATTTAAGCACAATTAACCCATTAAAGCGCACCCGGCGCACGTGTTCCAATATACACGCACACACACACACATATCTGTGTACATATCTGCGTACAATGTCCGAATTCTACAATCCATGTGTCTTCTGTGCATGTGCAAGTATGTGTGTGTGTGTGTGTGTGTGTGTGTGGATATTACTTTCGTTTGCATTAACAATTATGGACGGCACAATAGCTGCCAAACTGTAGAAAACTACCATTGGAAGCTTAGTTAAAATAAATGATCTCTTTATAAAGATCTGTATAGATCGCTTTTGAGAACTGGCAACGAACTCTTGGAATTTGCAGAATTGCTTCCTGGACGAACTATTTAATAAATTAATTAGTGGAAAGGCGGATTAGCTCCTTATTTGCTTAAAGATGGAAACTCTTGCAATATTCAGCAACAAAATGCATAGCCTTTGATAATTCAAGGCCTTCTACAATGAATTTAATATCAAATGAATGAGATGAATGCTTATCTTTATATTATTTTCAAATATTTATAAAAGCTAGCTAACTAGAACCAGTCATGTAACTGAAGTGCCTTAAGGGTCTAGGAACACGTCCTTAAAAACTGTCCATTCTGCATGATAACCATCCAGGCCGGGAGAGCCCATCAAAGATCGCCTCAATTTTTTATCGAAGCTCATGGAATAGGGGGGAAAAACGATTCGCGCTTTTAACAAAAATTCCGGCTATAAAACTCATTCAGAAAAATATATCTGGAGGCATATTCCAATTAAAGGAAAGCACTTTGTAGCCAGCCGACGAAACAAACTTATGTGGAATAAAATAAAAGGGAGTGGCAAGAAAAAGAAAAAGCTGTCTTCAGAAAAAGCAGTATATAAGAATATCTTAAACGTTTAAGAAATACGATATGGGTGGATGTTATCGAAACATATTTATTCGGAATCAAAAAAAGGGCGTGGCAAGAAAAAGAAGAGGCTGTACATAAGAATATCTCAAAGATTTTAGAAATACGATGCAATCGAAACAGATTGATTTGGAATCAAATAAAAGGGCTCAAGAATTTCTTAAATATTTAAGAAAATCCAAGATGTGTAATAAAGCAGGTTACGAAGTAAGTGGCAAGCAGAAAAGTTTGTTCTTGCTGGCTTCAAATATATAAGTAAGTATGTATTTAGATTATTCAAATTCAATTATTGCAAAGATCCGCCTACAATGCTCGACAACTGGGAGTTGAAAAACGAAAAATAGGAACAACAAACGCGCAACTTTTTGAGATTTATGATTGATTTTGAAAATATTTCATCTCTTGCTTGCCACATCAGACATCAGAGGCAAATGGTATGGCATTCGGACAGACAGCGAGGCAGCCAGAGTTGTGTTGCCAGCTGCGAGTAGTATTTGTTGCTCTTCAATTTGATGTCAGTCGGTCTGTCATTTTTCACTTCAATGTTTATGTCTTGCTGGCGAAACAAAAACAAATAAACAAACAAAAAGCCAAACAGAGCACAAAACTGTAACAACCACAAGAACAACAACAACAACAACAGCAACAGCAAGTGGGCTCGCGGCAAGCTTCTATTTTTCTATTTTTAATTGAGAATTGATTTCAAGTGTCAATTTTTTATGATCGTTTACTTCACGCAATTTAATGACCCCACCCTACCTACCGCCCCCTCCACCGATTTCCACTTCTTTCACGTCTTCTTCTGGTTGCCTCAAGTGTCAGCACGACGCGTGCTACGTCATATTTCATGCGAGTTGTGCGTGTGTGTGTGTGTGAGTGTGTGTGTGTGATAAGTGCACTTTCCATGTACAACATGTGGTACATGTGTGCCAAGCCCCCCTGCCCCAATCCCCTCTCCCCACCCCCCATCAGCGATCAGTCTGTGCCTTGAACAAAGTTTGGGCCTCTTATCTGTTTTGAAATGGAATTCGTTTAATTTCGTCCCACAGTCTTATGAACTTTGTGGATGCTCTCCCCCCAAAGCCAACGAGGTGCGTCAGAGTCAGGTTTGGCAAAAGCTCAAGTGTTCATACAGACAAACGAGCAGACAAATGAACGCGCAGACTGACACAGGAAAAGAATTCAGAAGGACACGGAAAGAAATGCCAATTCTATAAATATTAGATTTATTTATGGGTTTTTAACTGTTATTTGTGTTATTTTTATTAAATAATACTAAATAGTATTAAAATATTAATTAAAATAAAAATTAATATACAATTAAATTAAAATATTCTTGTTCATTTTTGTGAGTTACTTTTCAGTAAAGTTGCAGAGCTTCTGTTCCAGCCATAATCGAAAGATCATATTTAGAAATTGAACGACTTTTATAAAAATATGGTTAATTGGTAGCACCTCCTGTTTATTGATTGCTCCAATATTTGGCAACTCTCTCTCTCTCACCAAACAATTCAACTCCAATTGAGGAACAGCTGGCTGCCAAACAACGCTTTTCAATTTCCTCAGACACTTTTCTAACAATGCTCGAATGGCCGAGAAATGGTCGGAAAATTGTAGCTCATTCCGTCTACTTTTCTGCCTCTTGTTAGACTTCGTTTGATTGAATGTTCATACACCTGTGAATGTATTTACAAATATGATTCATGGGCCATCGAAATGGGGTCAAATGTGCAGGGCCATCGACTCATATAGTAATCATTGTTGTTGCTGTTGTTGCCGGCGTCGTCGAACGCGTCGATAAGCTGAGCCCCCCCTGATTTTGATTGACTAGCTGGTAGAGGTGTTGTGTTCTTTTTTTCAACTTCTAATTAGGTTGGAATGCAACTGGGAGCATTCGAAAAATGACATAAGAAGAAGATGATCTGCTCACGGCTAGAGAAACCATCGAAGCTCATCCATAAACCTTAATTGAAATTGTATTCTATTGACAACGAGTTTCCAGCCAGATAATAATAGCTCTTCCCAATGCATCCCAAGAAATCTCGACTCCAAATTTCGTGGGAATCGAAAAAGGGCATTAAAGACCCACTTGAGAAAATTTTAAGCCCAAGCGGCGCTCAACTAATAGAGCTACAACAAAAAGTTACTGTTCAGTTAAGGATCAAAGATGACTGAGAAAATCCCTAGCATGCCATAAGAATCAATAAATAATCGAACCTCCTAATAAAGAAAGAACTAAAAAAAATTGCTTGGAAAGTACTTTTGACAGCGATCGTTGCTATGGCAGCTATATAAAATCATGAAGCTATATGGGATTTGTCACAAACTCGATCTGCATTTAGACGAGATAAGTCTTTTAACGAACTCTGGTTGCTCTAGCTGTCATGGTTCAAGAGATCTCGGCGTTCATACAGACAGACGGACAGCTGTGAAGCTATATAGGATTTGTCACAAACTCGATCTGCATTTAGACGAGATAAGTCTTTAAACAAACTTTGGTTGCCCTAGCTGACATGGTTCAAGAGATCTCGACGTTCATACAGACAGACGGATAGACAACAGTCTGACGAACGATGTGTTTCGATAGTGAAGCATAACTAGGCTTTAAAAAACTTCGATCTAACACTGAATCGAAACACAAGTTTGTAACCAGCACTCGCTTTTCCAATCCATTTAATCAGAAGCGGCTGAAAGGCGATATGAAAAGAAAATATCTCGTTCAAATTGCAATTGCCGCTCCAATGTCGTCTGCATTGTGTCTGCCAGACTAGCTCACGTCCACTGACCCCCTCCCCCCTACCACACCCCACCTTCCTCCCACTTCCCACAAAGTCCTGCAACAAAGGAAGTTTAGTTTGCCAAACAAAAAGACATGGAAATACGAAAAAAGGACACAGGCACGTGTCAGTTCGTGGCGTTTTTTTCACAACTTTATTATTCTTAGGTGTTGTTTGTTGTTGTTGTAGTTGTCTTTGAGAGGAAGAGAGGGGAAGCGTTGCTGGCACAGATTTCTTGTTGTGGAGTTTTGTTGTCAGCGCTTCTCAAACTGTGCAGTTGACCTCTGTGGCTCGCTGGCTGGCTGGCTGGCTGGCTGGCATGCAAGGAATTTAAAGCAAATGCCCCGAAAGTGTTACATTTTTGCAATTAGACGACAAGCAGATGCACACGCACATGTCCTTGAGCCATTTATGCGTAAACACACACACACACACACACACACGCATGATTTATGAAATGAAATGAGATGCAAATGAAAATGAAAATGCAAATGCAAATATAAATGAGAATGCAGTTTCCCAATTGCACGGCAAATGCCTGGCATGTTTATTTTCGTTTGCCATTATTTAGGCAGCTGGTGAGGTGGCAGCTGTGTCTATTGTTGTTGTTCTTGTTGTTATTATTGTGGCTGTGGGGCACTTGTTGCGCATCACCAACTGGGTCAGACAAACAGACAGACAGACAGACAGACAGACAGAGAGAGAGAGAGAGATGGACATTTGTACAGCCCGATAAATTAATGGACGACATTCTACCCAACTTTCTGTCAACGGCAGCTGCGTATTTTCAAGGTCGTCTGCAGCTGCCACTCAGAACACGGCCATGGCTTTAAGCAAACGAACTGTGTGCATTGAACCCGAACCCGTTTTAAATGCTCTGTGGACTCGCTGGCATACAA